TGAGAGTGCTCCATTCACCCCTTAAATATATGATCCACGTGAACAATAGAGTGATCCCAAACTAACCACAATACATATAAAATATAACATTGCATTATCGTGGCGCTGGGCCGAGTAGTCCATGGAGTACTCCATACATGAAATTAATTAATTAATTTTGCAATTAATCTAAAATTGATCAATGGAGAACCTACAGTGAGTTACGTTATGTAGTATATACAAAAGGAGACATTCTCGACATTTTAAATAGTTTCTAAAATAGTGCGCTTTGTTGAAATGCTAATATCATACAAATTTATATTAAGAGTAATAATTTATTTTTTACGGCATCCGAGAACCATCAGAGTTCACCAACGAAACGAAACTGACACAATTTCAGTTTCATACCTTTCCTGTATACGAATATAAATCTTATTGCGCACTTACCACTCTCTTTAAACACGAACAATCATCGGCTAACACAGCGGAGTACTTATTGGATTACTCCAATCGACATAATAGTCCACAAATGTTTGCTGGGTTGTGAGTACATACTCGTACACTGATGCTTCATTCACTTTCATATGCATGCATTTACTTACATATGTACGTGTATGTTTACTAATAGTGCTTCGCTCCACGATGATTCCGCTTATACATTTGCGTATGCAAAACCTGTGAAACTGTATTTTTAATCTTAATTTTTATAGTGCCGTCATACGCTTAAGAAAGAACCATACATATAATTTTGGGTAGATTTGCTCAGGAGCAAATTAGATAGAGTTTAACGATCAACGTCCATCCTGATAACGGGAGTATTGCCATCAACTCTCTAGTAAGCACTGCTAACTCTTCTCAACCTCCTTTCTCTGGACCTATACGGAAATCTGCAAGGCAGTTGCAACGCAATAAGTTTGAATGCAACTCAACCTTGGAAGAATTGCTGTATAGGACATACAAAAGTATTATCTCTTACAAAAGTGCCGAAGGAACGGGACTCAACCACCTCTAGTGTATGCTTCGATAACCTTCCCTCTACAAGAAGCCCAAACAGATGCGAATGAGAAAACACAAATGCCCCAGACAAGGGAATACCGGAGCATTGCAGCATTTTTCAGATGGAACTCTTCACAATCATGGAGAACGCGGAAAGGTTGCGCAAATCTACGGCAGTAGGGCAATCAGTAACAATCTACTCCGACAGTCAGGCTGCAATCAGATCTCTTCAATGTAACGCTACCACGTCAAAAGTGGACATAAACTGTAGAAACACTCTCAACAAACTGTCAACGAAGTACAGTACTGCCGTGGTCTGGATACCTGGACACAGGAACATCGCAGGTAATTGCATGGCAGACAAACTAGCAAGGGAAGGAGTCTTTCTATCTACGATAAAACACGACCTGACAGTGACCACACAGCTATGGCCAAAGGTGGACGTGATAAAATTAAACATCTTATCCTTCTGGACCGATTCTCCATTAACATAGCGACGGGTATAATAACTGGACACTGTTCACTGGGGCTTCACGAAAAAGAGGAAGAGACCATCAAGCACTACCTCTGCCACTGTCTAGCCTTGACATCCGCTGGACGCAAGTTAGTTGGGAAACACTTCTTCGACTGCCTCGCTGAGTTGGCCTCAGTGAGGACGAAATGGTTCGGTCATTTGCGAAGGTGAAGGTAGTAGTCAGCGGTATAACAATGGGCCTATTGGGCCAAGTGTGCAGGGGTTGATCAGCAGCCACATCAACTCCACTCAACATAAACCAAACCTAAAATCTCACCAAACTGGCTTGGAACCAAATTAATTTGATTGAAGCATAAGTTGGACAGTTCTTCCAAGAACTCATTTACACATTATCGATTACAGATTGGCGTAAAGTTATCGATTAAGGATTTCCGCGTGACAAATGGTAAACTGAAGTTACCCAAACAATCGGGAATTCGGATTGTTTTCCCAATTAGATAGCATGCTGCTTACATACTAATATATCCGACCGGGCAGGAGCGCGGTGTCATCAGAAAATATCCGTTATTTTCAAATTTCGTGAGTTACATATGTTCGATTTTCGCTTTTTTTCTGTTTTGCTGATGCACATCTGTTATATCTGTTGTCAGATTGTTTTTGACAGATAAAAAGATTAGTCGTGTTTTTTTTTACTATTCGAAAAAATGGATCGAAGAAACTGTAGTAAGTTTTGTGTAAAAAATGAAATTAAATAGGCAAGGACATTTGAAATGTTAACTGTAGCATTTGGCGAGTCTGAGCAGAACACAAGTTCAATTGTGGTATAACCGTAATCACAGTAGTATCAAAACTGTGAAATCCCCCGGATCTTTTTGGAAAAATTTTATCTTGCGGAACAAACCTTTAAACAAGGGACCTGTCGTCCAGTACTATTAACATCGTAAAACTTATCGTTACGCTTAAAGATTGAAATAATAAATAAATATATTTTCTTGGCGTTATAAAAAAAATCTTCACACACCAGACGATATTAATGGCTGATGGTGCGACTTGCAACACGAACCTGGTTCCAGGCTCACACAACAACTGAAGCCAGCTGACCATTCACAACGCCTTACATACTTCGATATTTCGAAACAAAATATCTTCATCCACTGGACACATTTCTCACACGGTGGATACGTATATAAGCACATTTGTCACATTTGGGGCTCCGATTATTTGTGGATTAATTGTAGAAATCCCCTTACACAAAAAATAAAAAGACTTACTGCTTGGTGTGCGCTTAAGTCCGAGGTGGGATTGCACCTTACTGTTTTGAAAACGACAACGCGAGGCTTATGACGAACACTACTTGGACAGTTTGTTGTTTCAACAAGATGGTGTCACATGCCTTAATACGAAAAAGAATTTCCTGGCAGCGTAATGTCGCGTCTAGGAGATGTCAACTGATCACCGAGAACGTGCGATTCGACACCGTTGTAGTTTTTTGAGGGGCAGCGCGAAAGATCGTGCTAATTCGTTTAACCGATCGAGCGCTTGGAAGGCAACATTCGTCAAGTTATGGCTGAGATATCGTCTGATATATGTCAAAGTGATTGAAATTTACCTTTGAAGAATCGAAGTGTGCAAAAAATCGCAAGGTGGTTATTTGAATAATGTGGCGTTTCAACATAATGCCAAGGCTCTAACTTTATAATAAGAAATAAACTTCTTGGATTTTAAACGCATTTTATTTACGTTTACCTTCGAAACCGGAAAATGGATAACCCTGTATTTTATAACGAGTGCAAGGTGGTGGGTTTCAAAAACCTTCTTTATCAACAATATAACGTAGGATGCTTGCTTGACGTAGAATGTAGGAGTTGCTGCAGTAACAGAGTGTGGGCATTGTGAGCGTTGAGAGTCATACTGTGTCATAAAAAATGCATGGAACTTCTTATTTCGTGGTTTTTATGTAGTTAACATTTAATACTCCACGAAAGAACAGCCCAAAATGTGTCCTTTACTAAATATTTGACAAATCGGGCAAGCCCTTGAAGATGTCACAGCTCAAATAAGCCGCAGATGGTCCACTCTGTTTGAGAAACATCAAGGAGTAGACCCAAGGAGTAAACCCCCTTCCTACAATTGTATAAAAAGAAAGAAAACAGAGCCACTGTAATCGTTTAAGCTAATACTTCACCTGCATATTGATTTTCTATTCATTAAAAAAGCATTTGCACATTTGTATCAAGAAAACTTCAATTAAATGAAAATTAGAATTCACTAAATTAAAAACGAAAAGAGGTACGATTTCATCGTTTCGTTGTGCCCAAATATCAGGTGCATTTCAATTATATTATAGTAAATTTAGAACATTTTACCACCTACACATTTTTGTTTTTGTTTAAGTTATATGCATTTGCTATAATAATCTCTCTTAGAGATTGTCATTCTTTCTCTTGTTTTTTTGTATTTCTCTTAGCTACCGTTGGCTTATAAAATTGCGTATCCTATCAGCACAGGTTGATTTCTCATTAGTTAACATAAAACAATAGTCAGCTCCGGTATGTGTGCTCTCCAAATTCGGGGCGGAGCTTATGCTAATAGCACGTGGTTATATTCGTTTGCATTGTTTTCATTTGCCTCCTGTTGTATAAAGGGATATTTCGTTTCGTGCGTAATTACTCCCACCTCCCCTCCGTAGTACCGAGTAACAACGAACCGATTCGACAATTGTGTGGCGCTCTTGCGATGCGTTAGGGTTGCTCTATGCGCATCTCTTGCCGATGGTAATGAGTAAAATGAGCGCACAGGTAAACAAGTCATAAATCTTTATACACGTGACACAAATGTGAATGGCATGCACCCGATGAAATTTTGCTTGTTGCTCATTCGTGGTTTCGCGAGCTGGTATATGCATGCCCTCACATCGGGAACCACGTTTCAATACAACGCGGTGTCGAAAGGAGCACCAATTAGCATTTTCCGTTTCTTGTGTATTGCATTGTCTTTCCTCCACTTCAAAACTAACCGTTGTGTTTGCATATCAGTGTGGGTGTATGCAAATTTTGATGAGGTAAAATATCAAGTGCCAATGATTGTCAGGCAAATTTCTTTTGTATACATTTTCTATGTACTTTTTTATCTAAATAAATAGTTATGTGGCGAAAAAGTGTTTTATCATGTATAAAGTTATATGGAAAAATACATGCATATATGTATGTGCGTATACGAGTATGTAGGCATATAAGGCTTGTATATGGGCAGTATTTCGGTGCGATACATCGTTAAATATTTTTAAACTGCATTGCATTTCTATTGGCTGAGGGTGGGCCCCTATGACATTATTATCATCATGCACGATTTGATGAGAAACAACCCTTATTTCTTTAAGATAAACATGATATTAAAATAACTTTGCCAAAGACTCAATATATTTTGTATTAATAGTGAAAATTCAAAAAAAAAAAAAAAAATAAAAATAAATAACTGTTAATTTTACGCCAAACAATTATTACATGAATTAATTTGTGTATTCGTATTTGCATTCTTTATTTCTTTACAGAATTCAAGCTGTTCGACAACGGTCTAAAGTTGGATATATCCAGCTACTCCCATATGAACATTCGCATGAGCACAAAGGGCAAGCGTCCATTGCGAAGCTTGACCCCGAGTGATAAAATTCATGCCATTCAGCGAATACACGATGGAGAATCCAAGGCATCGGTGGCCCGTGATATTGGAGTGCCCGAATCTACTTTACGTGGTTGGTGCAAAAATGAGGATAAGCTGCGCTTCATGTCACGTCAAACTGACAAAATTACAGCTGATTCATTGGCTGAAAAACTGGGAGGATCAGCTGCTTTGCTGGGAACGCCCCCAGAAAAACGTCAAAAACTAGATGGTACATCCCTACAATTCAATTATTCCAACAAGATCAAATACGATGATATGCTGTACAAACGAACTCCCCTTAATGGCCTGGACTATAGTTCAAACAAAAATTTGCAAGAAATTGGTTTCAATGGACTGCCCTCGGATTATATTGCTTTCAGTGGGGCTGTGAAGAACAAGGTCTTCGGTGCTGATATATCTCGCCAAACAGATCCAGCAATCGCTGCAATAAGTCCCCTTACTAGTTTATCACATATTTCGGGACTCTCTGGTTTAGCTCAATCCCCATTAGCAATTAGTTTCAATGAACTTACATCAAATTTAAATTTATTAGCACAATTAAATCCTGGATTAGCAGCAATGTCTGGACTAAACGGTTTGACGGCCACGGCTAGCACTTTACGTAATGTAAAAACAAAACCACAGCCACAATTACAAAGTCCACGAAGTGAGTGCGGAGATCGACAGCAGGGACTGTCTGTTAAAAATTGGGCGAAACAAAAGTCACCTCCACCCGGGGATCCTAATTATGGACTTAACTTATGTCAGAGTGATGATAATAAAAATAAAATCAAATGTCCTAGTCCATCACTTGCGCCATCTCTCGGCAATAGTATACCCACGCTCACAACCATATCTGAGGACCCCCTACTATATTGGCTGAAATCACAGCAGGCAATGTTAGGATTGAATAACCTCTATCCAGCAACAATAGGGGAGTCTAGTCCTCCGTTGCGCTCATCAACACCGCAACAATCAGCAAAACATATCAACGCGCCCCTTAATGCTCCCGGAGCGATGGCATCATCTTCGACATCTTCCGTTAATTTAGACGACAAGAACTCTGCATGGTTTAATTGGTGCAAGGCATTAGGCGCTAGCCTTAATTCATTAGCACCAGCAGCTGCAGCCGCAGCTCTACATGGTGTACCCACACCGCCACATAATCCATCGTCTTCTAATGCGTCTACTTCCACGAATGTTGAAGCGGCCACCTCGTGTTCCAATTTGTCAGCTCAGAAATCGAATTTGGAAAATATTCTATTTACTCAGCTAACTAAAAGTGTGGGTAGTTCGTCGTTGGAAAGTGCAGGCATGGTTGAAAACACGAATCACGATGATATTGAAAATCTGAACTCTATAAACAAACCTGAGGATCTATCAGCCAGAACGATGAGAATCAATTCTGCGCCCGCATCACCCACACCAAACCCACCGGCACTGAGCACATCACCAAACTCAAATATGGAAGAATGCTTAGTGCCAACGCCAGAACATAGCCCAAATGAGCATTCCGTAGCTGATGCTCCCAACTCTCCCTACTATGATGAAGCTGAGGAAGACGGAGTTACTAGTATTTCGGATTGCAAGGATGTTTTAGATAATTTATTATATAAAATCAACAATAATCCTTCCGTTGCATCTCTAAGTAAGGCAACAACACCAACAACGGCTGACGAACCGGACGGCGATGGTGGTATTAGTGAATCGAATATCAGCTACGCAAGCGACAATAATCGTGATGACAATGTCAACAACAACAATCATTCGAATAAGACAGATGAAGAAGAGCGTCTGAAATTTTCTGGAATTAATAAAGAGGACGAAGACTCCAAAGCCATAAAACATGGTGAAGAATTTCTTAATTGGTTAGAAAAATGTAGCAATCCTCGCGTTACCGCAACACACTTAATGCAATTGAGATTTCTTATATCCGCTTTGAAATCAAGTTGTGATAGTAAAGATGAAAACTACGTAGATAAAGTTAGATTAGGCGATACTGAAAATAGCACTGGAAATATTTTAAATAATTTGGAAGACAATAATCATATTAATAAAGGTCGCCGCCGCAAATAGGGGCAACCGAAATTGGCAACAACCGAGACAAAAACTAGTAATTCTAACCAAAATGGAATGCTTTTGCGTGAAACGACGCAGCTCTGACAAGGAGACATTGAAGAATAATAAATTCCAAAGTCCTCAAATGGATAATGTGATTTTAACAATTAGCTGAATTCTTTCCAAAAATATATATATGAACATATATATTTATTCGAAGAAGATGTCAAAGCCGTGGTAATGTACGTGTATGTATGGCAATGGTGGGAAATACTCATATGAAATAGATACCAAAAGCATAATGCATATTTTATTGTAGCATCAAAAAATATGTTAATTACAGTATTATACTGTAACTGTAGCCGCTAATTTCTTCCTAAAAATTTGTGTACATATGTTTAAGTTAAAAAATTATGTACTTGTGAATTACGTAATTACGTAATTACGTACGTATTCATTGACTATATGGGAATTGCATTTAATTTGATTATTTAGCCTTTGTAAGAATATTAGAATATTTAACATCAAAAGTAAATGTAAGATTAGACTTTGATATTGAAATAAAAAAAATAGAGCTCTTCTGTGAGTATGTGGACTAAATATGGTTTGTATTGGAAAGCGAGGTTATGAAGGGCACCACAATTTTTCAACGACCAATAATAAACTTGTAATTTATCTCTCTCTCTCTCTCTCTCTAATTGTGATTTGTTTTAAGTAAAAAAAAAATGTAGACGCATAAATATTAAGCCATTAGTTTGATTTTAATTTCCGATATTTCTAGAGAATCTAGCGAATGATTTTGATAAACTCTAGTATATTTACTTGGCACAGCGAAAATACTACTTTCCGAAATGAAAGTATTTTATAAGTTAGGCGAAATCTTCCCTTAGTAGGCGAATTCCCGAAAACTCTAATGTCTATTATATGAACCCTTTTGATAAATTGTAATGTAATGTATTTATTTTATGTTAAACAAGAAAGATGTTAAATTTATGATATTTCATTTTACATATATATATATACATAATTTGGTGATTTTTAACCCCATTTTGTGGGTGTGCGTTTTGATGTTTTTTTCCAAAAATTGGAGTGACCTACAGCTTATACTAAGCCGCCTCCAAACGGATGATGTTTTTTTTATGAGGAGCTTTTTTCTATGTCAGAAATACACCTGGAGGGGCTTGACATTCCCTGCCGAGGGGCGATCGCAATTAGAAAAATTCTTTTAATTTTTTATTTAAATTAATTTTTTATTATTTGAATGTTGGTCGCACGGGGATTTCAACCCTATCTGGCTACCTCCAGCGTACACACATATAATATGACTTAAAGAATGTTACCCAACTATATTCTTCTCAGTAGACTCTCAAATTTGAAGAAAAATAACCCTTTTTTATTATATGCACTGCTTTCGATCTTCATAGTCGATACAAAAAAGACAAAAAAGCTGGCTGGAAAGGGAAGTGTCAAACTCATTAATATCATATTTTTTTTTTTTAAGATTCGCAAGCAACGGATGTACCGTCAGAACCCATCGCGGATGCATGAAGAAGGTAGAGCGTAAACATGAATTTTTTATTCGTATAATAAAGTAGGAATAAATCTCTATTATATTATATATTTATTATTTAGGTTAAAGTTAAACTGCTTGTATATCATTAGACGAATAGTAGGAAGAAAATCAGAGATGTTACCGATTTCATTTCGTGAAATTTACTTCTAACAATATTTCAGCATGGGTGAGTTCCAAAACGTCCGTTACAAAGCAACCATACATTGTTACGCATGCCTAAAAGCGACTTGACGATGTAACAAATTCGCAAAGGTTTGTAAGGCTTTATTTTCTATAAATTCTTAATAACTGTAACCGACGTCGGAGGGTAAGTTTTATCGCTAATTATTTTTTTTTAAACATCATATGAGTCGTTTATTTTGAAAGTGGTTTAAGTCCATTTTTTCTTATATTGAGATACTTAAGGGTTTGTGTTTGATTTGTTTCCAGAATATTGTTAAATGGTATTAATTTTATTTCATGACTTTGCGACGTTAGACATGTTAGAATATATAACGATGTATGTTTTGTAAACTTTACTAGAAAAATAAGCTGGTTTTCTGAATCTAAAGTGGACTTTCAAAATTAAGAAAATTACTTTTTTGCTTGTGAAAAGGAAAGAGTCCACTGATTAAAAAAACAAAAATATATTAGAGATTACAAATATTTTATGTTTGAAGTGGACGAATGCAGATTTTTTTATATAATTGAATTTGAATAAATATTAATTCATTTATTAAAAAATTAAGTTTGCATTCATTTATTAAGGATAATATTATTAAGTAAAGATTTTGCCAAATTATCATATTTCTCCTCATTTAGATTATGTGTGAGGTTGGTAAAATATTCCTGGTGCATAGGTGGTATATACCTTAGTAACTCCATCTTATAGTTATACTTAGGAGTTGAAATGGGACGTACATTGTTGTATAATAATGTTAATTTTATTTTGTTGAAGCTCCTTGGTCTTGCCCGACAAGCATTTTGAGCTCTTTATCCACTTCCATAGATTCTTTATAAAAATATTTTATGGGGTTCACTTCTTATAAATCGCATCCAACATATCCTTAGCCAATTTACGCGTTCGCCACTAGTGTTTTTTAATCTTTTATGAATCGCTTCTTCCAAAGGTTTGGTAGAAAAAAAAATCTGGACGTTTCATGTTATTTAACATAAATTTGTTACTCTTTCGACATATTTTTATGGTTTCATAGTAATTCCGGGGGTCATAGATTAAATTATTTTTCCTCAAAGCCATTTCAAAATCACTATCATTCGGCGAAAAAGAAGGTCCTGATAGTAAAAATTTATGGTCAATAATATTTGCATTATTTTCTGCCAATTGCACAATTTTCAACCATTTTTATATTCCTGTTCTGTCCAGTGCACCTATCGCTGTAAGCTATGATATGTTTATGATTTTGAAGTTTTTTGAGCTGTTTTAGTATACAAGATCATAGTACTTGAGAACCTCTCGATGCCACAGTTCTATCCCCGGCATACATGTAAACTTCATTATCGTGTAAATTATGACATCGAAGGTAGAAAATGTACATATTACGTTTGTAATAGGCGATGGAAACAGACAATTTGGAAAGGGTAACGCCTTCAGTGGACTTAAGCCAGTTTCAAAATAATTTTTTTTTTTTGAATTTCGTTAGCTAACTAAATTTTAAGTGCCCAAAATCATAGCGATCTCAATAATACTATATTTAAAATGTTTATAAAACAAAGCTTATATAAGATTGTGATTATTGTTATCATTAACCACTTTTTGTTTTTTAATTGACTTAAACCGCATTCAAAATAAACGACTCATATTACTTAGATTTTGATCTGTTTTATATTTTAGGCATTTCACCGGAAAAAAACCTTATTTGCACGAAAAGCAAGCCAAAATGTCAGAGTTTGCAACGAATTGTTGCCTTGTAAATTTTAAAACGTTTTTATTTTGACGTTTTGGAACTCACCCTAGATTGTTGTTCTAGTGTCTGCAATCAATTGTGTTTACATTAATTGTTTTCATAGGATAAAAGCCATACTTTTTATTTTTGTATCTCTAGTACAAAGTTGTTAGTAATATTAATTACATGACGAATTTAGAATTTTTTGTCCTCTGCTGAGGAAGCTGACACACGCACGGCGCGCAATTAGACAGTTCTCTGTTTCGCTGGTTTAATTTTTTTTTTTTTTTTTTTTTGAGTTATTTAGTAAAATTTCATGGTTCCAACATGTGGAATCCGAGAGAAAATATCATTGATTCTACGCTTTCCATCAAAAGTATTTTATCTTCTCCTGCTTATAATTTCAACAATCCGCCTGGACACTATAACTTCTTTAATATTTTCTAATTTTTTCATTTTCCATCTACAAATTGAATTTGGCTTCACATAAAAGTTCCAAGGAACCAAACGATTAATTCGGATGTTTACTGTCAACAATTGCACAAATTGAATACAGCCATCAACGAGAAGCGACCAGAATTGGTCAATCGTAAAGGTGTCATATTCCACCAGGACAACGCTAGACCGCACACATCTTTGGTCACTCGCCAAAAACTGAGTGAGCTTGGCTGGGAACTTTTATGCATCCACTAGATAGCCCTGACCTTGCACCATCAGACTACCATTTATTTCGATCTTTGCAGAACTCCTTAAATGGTAAAACTTTCGGCAGTGATGAGGCTATAAAATCGCACTTGGTTCAGCTTTTTGCAGATAAAGGCCAGAAGTTCTATGAACGTGGAATACTAAATTTGCCCGGAAGATGGCAAAAGGTTATCGAATAAAATGGCAATTATATATTTGATTAAAGTTCATTCTAAGTTTTATTAAAAATGCATTTACTTTCTTTTAAAAAATCCGCAATTACTTTTTGGGCAACCCAATAATATAATATAAGATTATTAAGAACCAGTTTCTGCTTGTTAATCTAAACAATAAGCTACCAAAAAGTTTAACTTCAAGTGCATTGAATCTTCACTAAGATTATCTCACATGAATCGGTCCCCTAAATTTTCTTAATAAAGTTGAATTTTATTTCGGTCCAGCCGTTAACGATTCAGGAAAACCTATAAATTGTTTTCAGCATAAGGGTTTCTCTTTGAGCGAAACCGCATACAGTGGCTCACATCTAAAGAGATTAATTTAAATAAATTTCCCAAAAATCATGAATGCCTATTTATGCCAATTAATAACTTTATACTAAGAACTAACCACATGTCTCGTCTAAGAGTTTCTTTTTCTCTCATTTGGATACAATATTTCTATTCTGCATGATTCATTCATATTACAATTGTCATAGCGCACGCTCCGCTTTAAGGCACGTTAATGCAAGGGAACGGATCGCGCGTATGCACGGGCGTGCCTTCCACCAAAGCTCCTGCTCAAGTCAACGAATGATGCCGTCTATCGGGTTATGTAATGAACCAAGCCAATCACATATCTGCTCGTTGACCCTGGACTACTTCCGAATATTTTATATGCTAATCCAAACCATAGAAACGATTTTTTTGAATAGATCCGTGCTAGGCACTATTTCTGGAAATTTCCTACAATTCTAATCAAATTTCAAGTAAATCGAACCATAAATTCAAAATTTTCGAATAGATCATTTTAAGGTTCTCTTTCCGATGTGAAAAATAGACGTTATGTTAACCTCAGCCCAACTGAATGTGCACATAAAATTTCATTAAACCTGGTCAAGCCATTTCGGAGGAGTATAGTATCTAAGACTGTGACATGAGAATTTTATATATTAGTAGATAATATTAATACTTTGATATAGATTATTAAGAACAAATGAAGTAAGTATAAGTAAATATATTTTTATTCATTTTAATTATTAAAGATATCGTCTGAACCACCAGCGCCCTGCACTGAAGGAAGGGAAAATAAGTAACATTGCCGACGAAGGTGAAAAATACCACAACGAAACATTGAGTGCATTCGACGAACTTTGCGCTCAGTAAACATGTTCAGTGAGCGATTTAACTGAGCGATTAATTTTCATGAACGCAATGCAAATGCGAAACGATTACATTCATCGC